TACACCGTTTTATTTCTTTGAGGTCCTGAATGGGCCGCGGTCTTCCAACGCTAAACGAGCTTTAAAAGGCGCATCACGGCCGTCTTTTCGTGTTTTTAACTGAGCTGTAAGCTCGTAGCTTCAGAAATTACCGCTCATTTAACCTTTAGTTACCGTGGCTAATGTAACAGCGAAGTGCGGAACTTGCATTCGCAATATCCTACATTATTAAGATCACTACCTAATATAAAATAACGATATTCGCACATTTAACATACGAATATCTGTTTGTGACACAGCAAACGCTCTATTTATTATCAGTTATAATTTTGTCGTGATTTTTTTTTATTTCGCTACGTTGCATAAATTCTAACAGATCGAAACGCGATGTGTTCCGTATTGAAGACACCCGTTTGCAACGTTGGCTCGCGTAGCGTGATTTTGGTTGAAACAAATTTAAACGAAATGCCTATGACAGTGCGAGGGAAAATGTGCGGAATCGACAGGACGTAATCTCCGATGCTAACGTACTGAATCGGTTTATATTTAGGTGCGACGCGAGCGCTCTCGTACGGAGGATGGACCTGCGCGAGCGTTCTTGTGGAGAGGGGTAGTATTTACGGGTGTATATGCGCGACAGGGTGTGCGTTAATTGATGTAATTATATTCTCCTTGCGGCGGGATGCTCTCGCGCATCGTACGTGAACGAAGAGACACGCACACGCATGCACACGCAGAAAAGCATCAGGTCAGGTGTGCGGGGTGTAGGTGTTCGTATATACGTGCGGCATATCACGTCGATGTGACATTTACGTAGTAGAGGGGTTGAACTGTAATCAAGCTCTGTGATAGACATACTTTCATTAATTATTATCGCGCTTATTAAGCCGGGCATCTGATATTGATGACGCTTATTCCTTTGACTGTCAGCTACCATGGCAAAAAGGGGAAAGAGATATAGTGGAGGGGCGTCATCTAGACGTTCTCTCATCTAGAGTGATCGAGTGTGGATGATTCGGCTATTATATCTGCCTATTTAAGAGCAAAATCGGGCAATTGCTTTTCTTTGTGGCTAATTTCTTTGAGAGAAAAATAATTGTGGAATAAATATCGTATAACTATGAGTTTAAAAAAAAATATACTCAGAACATATTAACGAGAAAACTACGTACACGGCATTTAATTGTGTCAAATTAGACTTTAACTATGATCATCGTGCACTATATCGCTATGACGTAAAGTGACGACACGTTAATTTATCAAATATTTCCTGTCTCGTGTTCTCGTTAACGCATTTTCACAAAACTGTACTTTAATTATGTTCCGTGACACCGTGAAATAATAAAGAAATACTATAGTGATTTAACTGATAGTTAACATTTATAAACGTTACGTTGCAAATTGTTCATGTAGTACAGTATTTGAGTCTATAAATATTGTATACATGCTCCAAAAAGCTTTTATTAAAAATAACATAATTCAAACATTTTTTTTTAAAAGCGTCTTTAAAATGTCTTCTTGAAAGACGCTTAAAGACGCTTTTGAGATACGCATGTTGTCTAAGAAATTATTGCATTGAACAGCAGTAGCAGTCTTTTTCTAAGGCAGTTTAAGCTCTAGCGATTACGCTACTCTGTGAACGACGTTATCACAAAGGAGGTTTAGCTCTTGCAATAAGGCCACTTTCAAAGCAGCGCTTTGCGATATATGTATATCAAGGCGGTGCGCCCGTTCAATGATCCCTTTTCGATTTACCGCTATACATACACTTTGTGCGGGGCGGTGTCACGCGTCGGTAATAGGGAAACATTGAATCACTTCCTTTCTGGCACCTTCGTTTACCGAGACAAAAGGGAAGACGTGCGCGACGAGAAGCAAATAGCAGGTGTGCCTGGCAAAAGTCATTTACGAGTAGCTGGAAAACGTACAAAACACTTACTGCAATCCGGGAATTCTGTTCACGAATTTGCAGCAACGATCGACGAATGGCGTGACACAATCTGCGCGAGGGTAATCGAAAAGTACGAAAGAGCAATCGCGCCCCCTTAAACCGTATCGCCGTTTCTTTCTTCCCTTTCATCGATACGAACGTCGAGACGCGAGAGAGCGAGCGATGAAAGAAAAGTTACTTATAGCGCTTCCTGCTCTACGAGTTGCGAAGTTCTATTCCATCGTCGGATAGAACGTACGATTGGGGACAAGGAGGGGGGGGGGTGGTCCGTTCCTAGCGAGCGAGTAGGAATACACTTCCCTCCGGGGAGATCGATAGAAGTTCCAGTTGATCGAGCATTTTGCATCGACTGTCGCGGCAGGCAACACCGATGCATCGATGCTGAATCCGTTGTTGCTGGGCTTGGCAGCCATGGCGACCCTTTTGGCTCTGGCCGTTGCTGGAATCCTGGCGGCGCTCTATCGGAAGCACTCCACCGGCCGACCCGGAAGTCCAAAGCACGCTCCTATCGTATGCGAGCCGCCTAATGCAGGTGCAACCACCCCGGTGCACCCTCAGACCAAGCAGGCGGTCGATGACATCGATCCGGACATCATACCCAACGAGTATGGTGAGTTTGTCAACATTCCAATCATTGGAAAAGGATTACATGAACTGTCTTGTACGCATATCTATTGATGGTTCTTTTTTTTACGTTGGCGAACTAGACCATTGCATCGTCTTCTAATTTTGTCAAGAAACAATATGAAGAAAGACAAAATAGCAAGATAAAAAAAATGATAATTTTAACTTTTTCAAATCAAATCAAATCAACAAAGCAAATCTCTATCTTAATTTTTTGTAATTATCTAAAATTATATATTTTGTTAATTTTTTTAATTATTGGAAAGATTTATTATAAAAATGTTATGTCGATACGGACTATCTTTATTAACGGTTCTCTAAATCGAACTTTCAATTTATGATAATAATTCAACAAAATTTTATATACGTATATTTATCATTGTTATAAATTTAGACTACTAGTTAAAGACTACTAAAATGATCTTAAAAAAGATATGTATATTATGAATATGTACTCTTGAAAGAACACACATTATGCATATGTTTAATCCGTACAAACATAAAGATAATATCTCTCATCTGATATCTTTTCAAATAATATAATAATAAACACGTAATGTTAGTTTTTGTACTTATAGTAAGCAAGTTTATGAACAAACTTCTCATTTAAATTCATTTCACCGCGACGTTACTTTTCCATGAAAATACATTTCCATTTGCGATATTAATACGCGAACTACGTCGCGAGCTGCGTGAATAATGATAATGTCAGGAAATGAAGTTGGATTGAGATACTTAAAAATCGAGAGATCTCTCGTAAATTCCGCCTTTCATAATGAAAGTTTCATCGATAAAATAGCGCAAATTCTTGCGGAGTCTTACTATAAATTTTATTTCTCTCGGTGCAATAAAAGAAGAAAAACCGTCATGATGAATCAGTCGTAAAACTTATGTTAAAATGTCACATTTACAAGAGATGGTATTTATAAAAAATATAGCCTTCTCTCTCTCTCTCTCTCTCTCTCTCTCTCTCTCTCGATTTAATCGACTAAGCGGCTTAGTCGTTCGGCCTCTGCATGGCTTCCGTAAATCTGTCCGCAGAAAGAAGACCCCTAACGTACACCCCCGTCTATAAGACACCACCACAACGAAGAAAGAAAGATCGCGCCACCGATGAGGACGCTTCGCCGGAGAAAAGGCCGATCGTTCAGCACGGTCTAGACCTGCCTCCGGATCCGATGTTGACCGACTGCCTGCCAACGCCTACCATAAATTATCCGCAAAATCACGTGTCTCAGCACAGCGTTTACAATCATCCGCCCACGATGGCTGATTTCAAGCAGATGGCGATGGACGCCTACAATCAGCGCAACAACCAAAACGTAATTACAATAAAATATTGCGTATTGCTCATTCATTATTCATTGACATTAATGTTCTTTCCATAAATATTCTTGTGAAGAGTGAGAAAAGTATTTTCCATAAATATTCTTGCGAAGAGTTCTTTATTGAGAAAAAAACTGATAAGAATTGTGATTTGAACTGTGATGTTTTTTGAAAGAAAATTTATGATTTCCTCGTTGAGGAAAACATTGATGCTAACTACGATTTTTTTTCAAAGAAAATATGGTTACATTGAGCTAGCGAACTGAATATAACTGACTAATATTATAATCTTTCGCAACTCTTCTTCGTCAAATAGTTTATTTAAAATTCCGATGAAATTTTGGAAGAAAAAAACTTTGTAATTTTAGCACACAAATAGACGAGCGATGAGGAGCAAGAGAATTAAAAGTAGGTCGAACTATGCTCGGAACGCATCAACTTAGCGTTGCATTTTTTATTCTGTAATGTCTGATTCGATCCTCGTTGAAATATTGCATCTAACTTCTGCAAAGCTAAATCAGAAAGGCTGTTTTAAATATTAGAAGCTTGGGGCAGAGTGATGGGAAGTTAGTCAAGAGGAGAAATCGGTTGCTTCAATATGCGGCAGTCTCCCACTTTAACTTTTCCGGTTTAGCAGAGTCTTGAGTTATCTGCGCTTTCATAAGTTTAATTACGTCCAAGTTTTCTCGATAATTTGACGAGGCCAGTCCCGATGTACGTAACTCATCTTCGTATTCGACTTCCACTGTTCTTCGTCGGTGATTCTTTCTATTTAGATGGGTGAATTAATTACGTCATATCAAACAAATATAAAAAAAAAGAAAATTCTAATTCATCAGACTATTGCGTATTATTTAATCAAATAATCCACATATCGATTCGTTAAATTAATTGCATTGAAAGAATAGTGCAATGTCGTAAAGAGTATTTTTCAACTATCGGATATACCAATAGCTTTTTTAAAATATGTATTGTAAGCAATTGAAATCAGAACAGGAAAAAATACAAAAACATCTCGACCTAGAAAATACGGATGTCATTTTTCCTAATTATATTGATAATCGTGGGTGAATTAAAAGAAACTATAAACACATATTACTTTCATGCAGTTTTATTAATTTGTTTGAAATCGTCTGTTTCTTTTATACGATCACAGCGATCGAATTCAATACATTATTAAAATTTTTTTACGGATATGCCAGTAATATTGTTTTCGCGAATCAAATACACAGTGCACATATCTTCTTTATTAATCAACGAAATAGTCTGATGAATATCGGACGTGGTCTTTGCTTTCAGGTATATTATAGCCTTCAGAGGACGAGCAAAGGGCTCTCGTCGATGCCACAGAGGCCCGTTTCATCGTCGATCTCCGCGCAAGGCAAATTCCATCAACCTGAAGTGGTGACACGCTCGAATCGGATACAGGAGAGCTGTATATAAGTTCGGAGGGTTTCCCTGCGGGATCAACCTCGTGAGCTTCTAAGATGCCGCCGGCGATTATATTTACACGTGTAAATGTAACGAGTACGAGCGGGGAGAGTACGGCGTTATGTAGAGATCCATGGATCCCCGAGACACGAGCGCGAAGTCTAACGTGGTATCTTCCCATAGAGTTGGTACACGAGTTTTGAACCACTCCGCGAAACACACTTAACGTTTACCGTACAAAACCATAGAGAGGCTGATGGTGTGTTCCGGATCGTATTGATGGGAACGCGGCCTCTCCTCGAGATTACGTTACGCCGATGCCGCCAGTGAGAGCGACATTACGTTTTCATATATAATTTTACGGGGGAGACGAGGTGAAACGACATTAGCGAGTTAGAGAGATACCCCGTACATGTCCAGAAATATTTCTTTACTGCCATATTGAGATATAAACGATATATCGTAACGTACAAAGAGTCTAACCCCTAAAAGTAGTTAATGTCAATAACGAGGGAGATAAGGCTGGGTTAAAGCGAGCCAGAAAAAATTTTAACGATGCTTTATATTTTATTCATATTATTTTCTGGTTCCCAAGTCGCGCACAGAATGGCGTCTTTATATATGGACGTCGCGTATTAATTCTTTTGGAACTTTTACAATTTACTACAAAATTTACTACTGTTTCTCCTTATACAGCTAATGCGATTGGGGAGATTATTTTCGATCAAAGCTCACCCTCCAGCCTTATCCTCAAAATACTAACGATATTAATGTGATCGTATTCGAAGCTCATCACTGCTCATGTTTTTCGTACGCAAAATTTTTATAACGATTCAAACAGAAAAATATATTCGTTTAAAAGACTTCGCCGAACTCGAGAGAATCTCTTAAGGAGCGACGTCTTCGTTCCCGATCACTGACGCGGTACACAGACGTGGATTTTACTGTTTATATGGAACTAGTTTTTGTACAAAGATCTATTGTAAATAGACACGAGCCTGGCCCTAGAATTATAGTCACTAATGTCCGAATTTCATTCGTTACACGTTAAGTCGAGAAGATGTCCGATCGCATAAGATAAAACTCGATGGCATACGAATACGAATAAAGAGAATACGTTTCATCTGTTTTACACAAACGAGCTCATTCGCTTGTCTTTCCTACTTGACCTTTCATACTCCTCTCCATTAAGAGCGAAGAACGAACGGTACGAGAGAGAAGGCGAAATTCCTATGATACGTGAGACGAATTTATTCGCGCAACGTACGTACTTGTGTTATGCTTCCATTATGCTTCGTATTCTCTCCATTTCGAACGTGAAAGAAATTTCTCTACTTGAAACGCTTGAACGATAATATGAACATACATGTTGTATAATAATACACATATATAAAAGTGGGATACAACAACATTGCTCGATACGTATCTCGATTGCACTTAATGACAGAAAATATGTATCAACTATTTTGCCATGCTATTGAAAAAAAAAAAAAAAAACTAAACTTTTCTCTATCGAATATTCATGAATCACTGACGGGGAGAGTACGTGATCATGAGAATTGAGAGATGAAGTATCATTCTGATCTGATTTGCATCTTCATTTCTGAGGTAAGTACCGATCACGCTTCTAATACCTACACCGGCGGAGACAGGTGAGTACGTTACGGAAAAACAGTAGCCTTTAATAACGGCGGAAAATGGCAAATGTTTAATGCCGGAGTCTCGGTATACCGAGACGCGTCGACATCGCGATATGGGGGAGGGACGATATATTTCGCAAAAAGAGAAAATTGCCACGAGGGGGGGGGGGCGAGACGTATCGCGCCATTTCCGCGAGATAAACGCGCCGCGCGCGATGGCTGAGAAGTGCTTTAAGGAAAACAGATCGTCGCGCCTCTCCATTAGCTTCGAAGAGAGCTACAAAAGCGTCCTGACAGCTAAGCGAGCATCCTATTGGACGAAGAACAGTAATTCGAGCATTTCGGGGAGAATACGGGGACGCGCTACAGTGTTTGCATACATTGTGCATTCTCGGTCTTGCTAACAAGGACTAACCCAGGTTGCCGGAGTAACCTATTATTCTATGTGCCATCCGTGTCTCCAGGGCTGTTAAGACGACCTATTCTGCTCCTAACGCTGTCGTAGCTATCCCCCGTCAGACTGTCACCCATTCCAGCTGCGAATTGCGAGACATAATTACGATTCACCCAAGCATCATAATCGAATGATATCGCAATACGTGCAGATGGAACGGTCAATGATCGCACATCGTACCTCACGGTATTCAGTCTGCTAATGCTCTGATTGAATCACAATTCACAATCCAGCCCATGCCGGGTTATCCCTATAATTAGAAATAGACATTGAATTTCATTATGTTTTTTTATAGTTCCTTCTTCCGTAAAATGTATCATTCACTCCTTTTCTCTCTCTCTCTTTCTCTCCGTTCGATACAATTCACCTTTCTGATCAACGAAATAATTTGTCAAGACGACGGATGAATATCGATTTCATTTATTCCTCGTAGAAAATATAATCCGTTCGTTCATGACGCCTGACGCCTTTGCTACGACATTTGTAATGTGTTCGTAATCTATCCGTTATCGTAGAGGCAAGATGTCAAGACTTGAACGAATTTTTAATAGAAACCATTGGCGGTAAATTGTTCGTCATTCTCTCGTGAGGGAAAAAGGTGTCGCACTACGACACGGACAAGTTTGAGAAGTAATCGAGTCGCGAGGCAGTCGAGCACGCTCAATTAGCCGCGGAAATCATTTCCGGCGGTAAGTCCGGCACGATAATCCGGCGAAACTCCGCGGTTACCCAGTCAACTCCACTTTCTCCCTGTCGAAGATTCCATCGGCTGAATTTGAAAAAGGAAACCGAAGGAAAAGTATGCAAAGTATAGAGATTCACTAATAAGGGATTAGCAAGAAAGAAATAATTAATAGTTTTTCTTCTATCAATTTGAAAGGAATTCAAGGATACAGATAGTATATTTTGTTTTTACACGTTAATAAATGATTCTAAAAGACTTTTAAGAATATTTATATTTTGTTTCTCCTCTTTCTTTATTATCTATTTAGAAATATTAATTTATTAAATTAAGTAAAATATTTTTAAAAGATGTAAAAATGAAGGAAGGAGATCAAAATAAAATAAAATTTATAGATTTTTATTGATGGATGTGTCATAAACATGTCGATATTTCTATGATCATCGGCAGTAAATAACGCACTTACCAATATCTAATATAAAAGAGAGAGATTTTCAATTATTTTCATTTTAAATTGAAACAAGAAAGATTAGTAATGATAATTTATGTACACGTTTTCTCAAATATAATTAACATAATTCGCACCTATACCGCACTCATGTCATTATATATACTCGCGTAATAATTAATAAGTTCGTGCCATAGTATCATTATGAAATGAGAACTGCACTTATTGTATCATACAACTGTCCATTAAATCCATAAACGGAGCGTTATTTTAGGTCTCGTGCTTTCATCGATCCAAGTGAAAACGGTTATAACCGTTAATCCTCGATTATGCTCTGGCTCTTTGCTAGCGATACTTGTTTGACTCCTATTCTCCATTATTGCTATCGTTAGCGTCAGTTAATAGGTACTAACAACCTTTCTAATTTAACATTAAATTTTATATTATGTTACATGTTTAAACAATTTTTGCATATGGCTGACAAAATTTTGTATATGGAAACGAAACAACAGGACACAAGAATAAAGCAACAATTACAACTGACTGAAAAATTTACAAAGTAAAATATGCATCACTGTGCAAAATTGGCATTGCTTGGAAAAAGCAATAATTCTCTGTCATCATAGACTTGGCTTTGTTGTCGGTGACATAATTCAGTCAAGCTAATGACATACACTCAACGAATATGGTAAAATTACATTTGAAACTTAACGTTGCGAAACATTGGCTTTGTGTTAACTCTAATGAGCGCAAGACTAATTTTGTGTCAGCTTTACAATAGACTAAGATATAAAATTCAATCCACAAAAGAGACAAAGAATAAATATTAGTAAACAAATTATATGTACGTGATTAAACATGAATAAGAATACATAATGCATCCTAATTTTTCTTTATATGCTTTTTCTTCTTCATATGCTTTGAGCAATTTATATATTGAATTTATTTTTCCTTAATAAAAGTTTAATCGTACAACAAACATATTTTTTCATATCTACTTTTTAATATTTAACATTGTCAATTTTTTATATAAGAGAAATGAGAGACAAAGACAGAAAAAAGGAAAAAGAAAGGAAGAGAGAGAGAGAGAGAAAAATATTTAAATATTTAAATATTAATATTATATATATTATAATATTAATATTAAATAATTAAATATTTAAATTAAAATTCTGTAAAAAAGTACTACTCACTTGAAATGAAATGAAGAACTGTTCTCAATTTTTGATAATTAATTAAAAATTCTAGATTTTCTATTTTTTACATATAATAATTAATATTTAATATTTCAATACCTTTTAGGAAACAAAAAACAATTTTAAATTACTTAAGAACTCTATAGATAAAAAATTTAAAGGATATTTGACATGTTTTATTTCGATATTCTTTCAAGTTGTCAAAGTTAAAAATAAAACACGTAGTACCATGAAACGATATGTCAAAGCTAAATCGTGATTTGAATACAGAATGGCGCAAAGTCATAGTCTCACTTATATTATTCATCGTCTGGCTATTATTCCAGTGCCACAATCATTAACGGAGCTAATCGTTCGATTTCCGGAGCGCCATGTAAATAATTATAGATTGAATGCAGCAAACTAGCATGCGAAATATAGTTTGAAACATAGTTGCTGTATGTTGCAAAATTGTTGTAAATGTTTAAAAGAGACGACATCGATTGCGATGAAACGCGATGAGAAATAATATTTATTATACGTAATAAATCTTTTTTATTTTTCAATTACATATAAACAAATTGCAATTTTCCATCATCAATTTTTCATCATTCACTAATTTTCATCGATATATTTTTAAATCTATAATCTCTCAATCTCCTGTTCTTTTATTACTCTCGAAATTTCAAAAAAATTGTCGAAAAATAAGTAACAATGAAAAGGGCTTTTATCAATACATGCCACGTTTCGAATTGGCCATTTTTTCAGAGATATTAATAAAATATGTTTAAAAGTATCGAGAATGCAGTCAATTTGTTAAGCTCAGCATTAGTCCCTGCGAGATAACTAAGTATTTCAACCACAACAGATATCACTATGAAGATATATCGACAAACATAACTCCGATCCCATAGAACGTTATTGCTCCCTTGATTCTCAGAGCAGTAAATTTCTCGAAGTATTCTTGGCAGTCAGCCTGACTCGGATTTAAGAGGCATAACCTCGTGGCCCGGATTTAAAGCCATGATACCCGCAAACTCTTGCAACCAACATCATTCATACAATGACGGTCGATGAAATCGATGAAATGCAACTTTGTCGAAAAATTGCATCGATCATAAGTTAATGCATTGTCGATTCTCTTCTCAGAAAAGCAATTACTTCTGTGAGTAATTTTCTTTGTGTAATGTAAGTAATTTGCTTTATGCCATATATCAATAGTTCATAGTTTATGTCTACAAAGTAGACATTTATATGCTTTGACAAATTAGAATTTAACTGAATTTTATATTTATTATTTGGAAAACATATGACAGAAGACAGAAAGAGAAAACAGGAAGAAGAGTGGGGGACAGAAAGAGAGAACAAATAGCACGCGCATCTGTAATATGTATAGTATGTTTAAAAATTTTAAAAATTATATAAAAAAATGGAAGGTTTGTTTTTCAAATCTAAATTGTTTAGATAAAAAATATACATAATCTTATTTATTTTTTATTAAATCATATTCTTTATTTATACTTAGATGTCTAAAAGATACATGTATTCGATAGACGTCCATATGAAGCTATCGGCAGATTCAACGAGATGTCATTTAAAAGTAATATTTGTAATACGATATCTCGATTGGATGTAGCTCTTTGCGCGAGATTCCGTTTTTTTACGAGCGCCGACGATCATTTTTTACGATCCATCTTGGTTTCGTCGTTGTCCAGGACACTCATCCAATGTAGTACCGGTACTCGGAGCGTGAACGATCCTTTTTTCTTCCGTTACATCGCGCATCCCCGACGAGAGGGAAACGGCAGTCAAAGTGCTGTGGTAAATCGGTATCAACGCAGGAAGAATCGCGGGAGAGAAGAATCCCTAGACGAACTGACGTCGAAAAATTCATTCAGGCGGCAAAAATGTCATGCGAGCCAAGGCGCGAGAGAGAGGAGAGCTACTGGGCTTAGGAGTGAAAAAAGTCAGAGCGCACGCCGCCGCTACGACGACGACGTTGGTAAAGAAAGTTTAGATTGAAGTTTCCGCGCGAACGAAAAGTTAAGCACTGTCATTCGCATCGTAGCAATCTGCGG